CCCCAAAACCCCAAAACCCCAAAACCCCGTTTGGAATATTTGCATGGAATCATGAAATTATGAAATAAAGAATATATTATCAAGCTTACATCGGTACTTCGCCAAGATCGTAAGCGCTAGCCACATATTTTTTTACAAGTATTGATCTGATAAGTGATTTCCATGCTTTTTTAGCTTTTTTCTAAAGGTTATCTTGTTCCCTTTTTTTCGATTGTTCCATTAGCTTCTTGTATTCATCTAGTACTTGTTTCTCATATTTCTAAAAAGTTACGACTCCTGAGACACAAGGGTGACTTTTACCATTACCTCCTTTTTCAAATCCAATTACTGCAGGAACAAAATCTATGTCTAGCTTTTTACAAATTAAAGCAGCTTTTGGGATATCAATATGCATAGTGCCCTCAGGTATTGGACCGCTCATTAGCTCTATATTTCCATATTTGTTCTAAATATATTAAGGTAAAATATTACTCTAGGTATTTTGCCATCTTCTGTCAACTCATTTTTCCAAGGCTAGGTTTACCAAAACCCATATAATTCAGCCATTCTTTCTGAATCATTATACAATCCCTTAACTCTTTTCATTGGTTCCTCACCTCTCTTAACTTCCCTTGCATGCCTTCTCCATCTCTCTACTGTATGCAACTCTGATACATCTTTCTTCAAAAATATTGGCTCTCCTTTGAAATTCTTATCAGGTAGAGGTTATGCTTGAGGCAAAAATCCTTGGTACTTTTTAATTATAGAGGGAAGTGTGTAATACTTGTTATTTTTGAATTCATTTGTAGTAGAAGGAATAAAATTCATCTCAGTCTACTCTATTTATTCTTACTCTAACTGGATAATGCCTTTGACTTTCTTGTCGGCATAATGAGAAATGTAGGGGGCAAATTTATGAATGAAATCCTCAACAAATTTTGTGAGAATACAACTATTTTTAGACTTTAAGTAGTCTTTTATGAATTTCTAGTTCACGAAAGTTGTTCCTATTTCTCTCATGAAAACTTAGTATTGCTGAGATTTATTAGGTTTTCGCATTGATTCATAAGAAGAGTAAGGCTGAGTTGCAATAATAAATAGAGTCTTTTAGATTCTAAAGTATGTCTAAACTTGCTCTGGTTATGGATAATATTGGCCTGTAAATGGGCATATTACACACCAGTTATGTTTAATTTCATCATAGATTTATATAAACATTCCTTCCTCAAAAGTACTAGAGAGTTCCCCACCATCATAATTAATGTCCATCTAGTTATCTTATTCAATCCTTTCCTTGCTTTTAGTACTATCATTTGTAATTAGGGTTTAGCTACTTCTAAGATATAAATGAGATTGCTGTATATTTGTGTTTATTTATGTTTCAGCCTGAGTTTATCTTTTAGACTAATTTAGATTCTATTATGAGAACTAACTCTCCTCAGATACTCTGCTTAAGTTAGTCTTTTATATTTGAGATCTTTCAGCAGTACTCTTGCCAGATGGTTTGAAAGAGAATTTGTCAAAGTAATCTCGGTTTATCTCTATAAACTCCTCTTCATCCTTCTTTATTTTATTTTGGTCTTTTAGATTTTAGCTAACTAAATTTTTAGAGTCATCGTTTAATTTGAACTTCTTGAATGACTCTGACAAAAATGAAGCTTTTTCCACTTCCTCCTCAGTATCACTTATTTGCATTTGCTTCTTCTACAGAAAGTAATCATCCCTCTTTCTTTTCTTATTTTTCCTAATTTCTTCTTCTTTTCCATATTGGTAATAATCTCCCTCTGTTTTTTTACTATATCCTGCTTTATCTCTAGCTTACTTAGTTTGATTATCCTTGGTCTTTTTTCTTGTAACCTTTATTTTCTTGCTATCTTCCATGGTCTATATATCTATGATGAAATTAACTCTGTGAACTATCTTATGAAGATTCATAAATATTGTAAAAAGTATCAGGTACTCTATCCTAGAAAGTCCTTTATTTTCAACTAGGTTTTTAATGAAATGAGATTCATTGGTTATCACGCATTCCCTCTCTGGCTACAAATGATGGCCAAACAATTTCTAGAAGTTTTTCAGAATTTCACTGATGATGCTTTAAAATGATTCCTTCTTCTGGCTTTATCTTGATTATGATTATGATGGCAGCTAGAAGAGATTTCGATCCATAAATTTGATTTGGTACTGGATAGGTATCATTGAGAGAACTATAGCTCGGTATAGAGAATTATATTGATGTCCATTAAACACAAATGATCTACCAATGTGAAGCAAAAGATAAGTTTTAGCTTCATCTAACTGCATTAGTTTTTACTTTCTTGCATTTCTCCTCTGCATCAATTCTTCATATTTGAGCGATTTCTTTTTGCCCTTTTCAAGGAGCTCATCGATTGATTCTTAGATTTTTGCTACTATGTTGTCCTATTCAAGCTGATCAAAAAGCTTATCATCTTCGTCAGAGTAATCATCTTCAAGGAAAAGATTATTTTGTTAATATTCCCTCACTTCATCCTAATTTTGCAACTACTAGTGCGGATTAATATTATTCTAATAGGTCATTTCATAGAATAGTTCACTTTCATCATGAAATTCTTGATCAATGTGATTATTTTGAATATTTAAGTCTGTCATCTATTTCGAGACTTGCTAAAATTAATGATAATATATGTGTGTTTAAATTTGATTTCAAATTTATTCTTGAATTTATGAGACTTAGGCAACGAGGGGTTTTGGGGTTTTGGGGTTTTGGGG